TCACAAGGAAGGCACCCCTGAAATCCAATGTCAGCAGAAAGCACGCTGATTAGAAAGTTGCAGGGAATAAAAACTCCACGTGCACAAGTATACTGGCTCAGCCATGCACCCGAAGCGCCTAGTACATGATTAGACGTGGGAAGGTTAGTAGGAAGCTTATTCATATGAAACAGATGGGGTTCAGAAGACAGACCTAGGAAGCCCTATTCCACTGTCACTATGATTATACTCGTGGTGAACTTTGTGCCATAAGGTTCTGAGACCTGACACAGTTCAGGCATTTTCCTCCTACATGTGCAATAAGTATGCACCACCTCAGACTCCACAGGCCATCCCACAGGCACCACCTCAGACTCTCACAGGCCAGGAAGAGCTGACAGTGGGACTCTGGGCAGAGGAGTCCCACTTCTGCCCCAGGGGGGTGACAGCAAGTCCACAAGCTCTGGGAACTCACACATCATACTGCCCCCAGCTGACCTGGTAAAGGCTGTGTTCTGTCTACTTCATCTTCCCCACTGGTGCATGGTCCTCTCTCCGCACCCACTTACAACATGCCCGACGAGCTCCAGAACACAACTAAACCCAGGGTTGTGACCCAAGTATCGTAGGGGATGCCATGGGCTGTTTACCTGTCATAGACTCCAGACATTTCCAGTTCACAGAGCTCTGGCAATGGCCAGGGACTTCCACACGCCGGAGGAAGTTGATCCTGTCCCCAGCTGTTGGGATGGGCTCCCATCACCTTGGGTGACGCCGTTCTCACCAGACATTGGAACAGTGTATTACCTGACGGCGGTCAATGACACAGAACAGAAACTGTGGTGGAGGGCATCTAGGAAAGTTCAACATGCAACCATTAGAAGAGATCGTCTCTCTTCCTCCTCTGAAAAGCCCCCTTAGTACCAGCCTGAGGAGGGGGTTGACCCCCAAGATGATGTAGAGAAAACACTGAAAAAGCCTCAGTCCCTGGTGACTATGTTAGGCTTTGCTGAAGTGTGTCTCACTCGGGACTCCAGGTCCAGGAGATGAGGGGTGCCCCAACTGTGGAGGTGGGCTTGAGAGGGGTTTCTCTTACGTTCAGCTTGTACTGGTGATCTGTCGCTACAGATCACATTACCTCAAGATGCAGAGGCTTAAGACAGTAAGTGTGAATTATGTCACAGTTTCTGTGGGCTGGACTGGCTGCCTCTGAGTCTAGGTCTCTCACACGGCTGCAGCCGGGATTCCCCTGGGCTGTGGTCTCAACTGTGCAATTTGCTGAGGGAACATCTGCTTCCAGGCTCACTCCAGCGGGAGTTGGCGGGACTTGATCTCATGCTCAGTGGGCTGAGAATCTCAGTCCCTCACTGGCTGGTGGCTAGAGGCTCCCTCAGTTCTTTGCCTTGTGGATCTCCCCAGAGAGCAGCTCTCAACATGGCAGCTGGCTTTCCTCAGAGTGAGCAAGGGAGAGCGGGAATCCAAGATGGAAGCCACCATCTTTTTTTAACCCAATCTCAGAAGTGACAAGTGACATCCCATGGCTTCTGCCATATTCTGTTCATTGGTGTTTGTCACTAAATCTGGTCCATGTTCACGGGGAGAGGATTACACAAGGGGGTGAGCACAGGAGGTGGGGACCACTGGGAGCCACTCTCGCAGTCCCCGCCACACAACCGAAGGCGTCCTAGTGGGTAGGCCAGAGCAGGAAACAAATAAGAAAGAAGAGGACGCTGGGATGCTGAGAGTTACTGAGATCCTCACGTCTTTCTCGAGTACAACCGCGATGGGGGTTTGTGGCTGACACTGTGGAGAGTACCCCGTAGACAGAGCTGAGCCGGTGCTGGATGCCCTTTAGCCTGGAACGTGTCTCAGTTCGATGAAGCTGAAGGGAGCAGGGCGTATCGTTGTAACTGATACTTAACAACACACAGGGACACGTATTCTGGTATATTCTGCTATTGAGGCTATGCTGTGTGTCAGGCATCCTGTTGGCCAATGGAACAGATATGAGTAAGACTGGCGAGGCCTCCAAGTTGCTTAAACCAGTGTGTGTGATACAGCGTGGGGGGTAGAGAGTAAACGGGGCCGACTGGAGGCGTGGCAGGAAGGGTTCCTGAGACCCTGGCGGGGTGTGTGGCTAGAGCACGCAGAGATCACATCCTTCTGATGGCCAGGATGGGTCTACCCAGAGGGAGCTGGGGGACGGGCTGCCTACAGGGGTCTCCTCAGTCAGACACACATATTAGCAGATGGTCACTGCATCTCTTCTGCCCACAAACCATTTGATGGTTTGCAAAGACTGTGGGGGTCACAGATAAATGTGGCACTGATCTAGAACATACGGCCTTCTCCGTTTGGCTTTGTTGCAGGTGAACGTGGTTTTCACGGCCATGTGTCAAGTATAGGTAACATGTTTGGCCTGAAGATGGAAAATGAGGCATCCGCACTTGGGCTCAGGGCCTGATACCATGCAAGCTCTCCGGTCAGCTGGGGACGGCCGGCGGTAGAAGGGAATGTTGGCACTAGCGAAGGGGGGTGTTCTGGCAAAGTATGAGAATGGGGGCTGCACCAAGATCCTACGGAGGTCAGGGTCAGGGCGGGGGAATGGCCAGAACCGAATGTTCTGGAGAGACATCAGAGGGAAGGGTGGTGCCGTGTCCGACCCATTTCATGTCTTCTTGCATCTCCTCCGTCTGTGTACAGAGCAGCCCCTGTCAGCTCTTCCAGGATCACGGCCTTCAACAAAATGCATGTTTCCTGTTTTTAACAACCTGAGTGGACTATACCACCTGTTGTAGAAGTAACAAGGAATGTGCAAAGCCAAAGATGTCCCCTGGGAGTTTCTGGAATGGTGGGGAAAACTGGGGAGCGGGTGGGTAGACGGAGCAGAGACCGAGAGTCGAGATACCCTATTGAGAATTCCTGCTAACCCTAGTCTGCTGTCAGACCCTGGGCCAGTGACGAGTCCATCTGACTCAGTTTCTCCCAGTGACAGAACCTACACCCCACGCTGTGGTGGGGACTGAGCAAGACGTCACATGTGACATGCCTTGTGGACCACCCAGCCCTTGCCGGTACTCAGGGCCCATCTCCCCCTGAAGCACATCATTTCTCATACAAGGAACGCAAGCCTAACCCCGAACTCAGGAGGAGATGGGCGAGAGCGTGCAGCTGCCATACAGATGTCTCCACGGAGCTTCCTTCCACACAGCTACGAATCACCGTAAGTCCGACGGGAAGGGGAGTCAAGGGCCCCAGATTCACATCCAGCAGTTGGGTGCCAACAGCCCATAGCTCCCTTGCGACAGGTGGAAGGGATGCCCAGATTTCAACACTTTGTGAAAAAATAAGACAGATGACAACAAAGGGTTTGTTTTCCTTCACTGCTCTTAAGTCCGGAGGCAAAGAAGGCAGGTTGCTTTCTGCCTGGTTGGGCAGGAGTTCCTGGTTTTCAGTGCCGCCAAAAATGGTCAGGAAAGTTCTGTGCATTGGGGGAAAGAGAAGCTCCAGGTTGGAGGCGTTCAGTTATGGGGCAGGAGCAGTCAGGAAGCGGGAGCAGCAGGAGGGGGACCCTGGGTGGAGGCCCACCCCCTCCGGCATGGCCTGGCACTTAATACCTCACGGGGTCCCCCTCCCCCCATTCCTCCTGTTTTTCCTCAGTTGGTTCCTGGGGACGAGAAGGGGAGAGACGGGGAGGGGGTTACAACTGGAGGGCTAAGGGGAGTCTGATGAAATATGTCTGGGGAAATGAACGTGTGGGGAGAATACCATGGACCCGGGGAGGGTGGGGGATGGGACCATGAAGCAAGAAGATGGGGAGCCCCATCCTTTGTCTGTTACCCTGTTCCATTCTCTCCGAGGGAGGGGTGGGAAATGATTTCACAGCACTGTAGGGAAGCAGGAGGAAGCTGTCCTCCCCAAACCTGATGCTGGCCTTTGGAAAGAGCCCTCCCAGATCTCCCCTGCTGGTCTCCCCAGCAGACGCCACACACCAGCGGTGCCCCCAAGTGCAAGGAGGCCCAGGAGCAAGTGGGGATCAGCAGGTCAGCATCAGTTCAGGTGTGGGCAAGTGTTCGAGGCCTGGATGTCCCACGCATGTAGGTTCCACGATCTGCTGGTCTTGCCACCATCCCCTAACTGCCGTTCAGCTTTGCTGTTTTCCCTCAGCCCCTCCTCCCCGACTGGATCCCCCCAGGATCCACAGGTCCTGTGGTCCAGGACTATGTCCCTTTACAATGAAGTGTCGTTGAGCCATCCTCAAAGGGGTGATCAGGAACTTCCCGTGCCGATGGTGCCGTCGGAATACATATGGTTAAATATATGAAATGGTTACCCCCCAGGAGCAGGAGTGCTGTGCACAGTATTTCTGGAGGTCAGAAAGAAATCTCAAGAGACAACAAAGACAACCTGGTCTCAGTCAGGGTGTGACAAGAAGTAGAAAACAATGAGACTTTAATTCTGGCTATTGCTAGAAGGAACTCAAGCCGTGTCCCTTTCTGCTGCCTCAGTTTCCCTTTCTGCAGGATAGCACTCCTACTGCTTGGCCGCTGACCTTATGATTCAAAGGTCCTCATTCATAAGTACCCCCTGGTCTTGAACATGGCTCTCCTCTGCCCTCGCGGCTTGCCGGAGTGAGCTCACCGACAAAATCCCATAATTGCTGAGTTCCCTCAAGAGCTGAGTGGGCTCTCGCTATCTGCAGACGTTCTGAGGTGAGTTCTAACTTGAGAGACAGCAGCTGCTAGCTGACTGTCTTCACCCACACAGTGCGACCGCGCGGTCTGACCTCGGGGTGAATGATTAATGCGTTAAGTCATTCTTTACGAGCACCTGCAAGGCATTCCGAGTGCATTCACTGTGAAATCGGACACACTGCTTCGGGCATTTAGAAAGGAAGGCTGGAGCCAAATGTCACAAACACCCCAAGGCAACAACAGAAAGTCTGGAAACCCAGCCCTGACACAGGTGAGCAGAGAGACGGGAAGTCGACATGTATGGGAAAGAAAACGAGTGGCACGTACGTGTGGGTCTCAGGTCCGAGGCCTCGGAACCAGCACTCTCCCCAGGAAAGCCGAGAGGCTCCGCCATGTCTGTGTCGGGAGGAGGGTAGGGCGGGGGTGGGGGGAGCACTAGCTGGGGGGGCCCCCGAGCAGAGCCTCTGGGAGGTTTTTGTGGCACCTGCCGTCCAACACCTACATGGAATCAACGGGGGTGACTTCAGAAGGTTAAACACAGAGACTCTCTGCCCTCCCGTGGAAGGCACGTGGCCACCACTCACCCAGCCATCAAAAATAACCTCGTGGCACAAATCCAACCACACCCAGCACCAAATCCAACCACACCCGGCACTGAATCCAGCCACACCCGGCGCCAGATCTGACCACACTCCGCACCACATCGAACAGCGCTCAGTACCAAAGTCAACCTCACCGTGCATCAAATCCGACCACACCTGCCACGAAATCTAGCCACACCCGGTACCAAATCCAGCCGCACTCGGTACCAAACTGAGGCTCACTGGGCACCAAACGCAGCCTCAGGGCACCGAATCCAACCACAGCTGGTATCACAGTCAGCCTCACCTCGCACTGGATTCAGACACAGCTGCCAACAAATCCTGCCACGCCCGGGGTCCAGAGTCACAGTCCCTTGGCATCAAATCCCACCTTGCTCATGCTGTAGTGTTTCACGCATACACTGTCCTCTCCTCGAGCCAGTTTGGAAATAACCTACTTGTTTGCGATGTGTTTCTGGCAGGTGCCACTACTCCCAAATGCCGGGCTTAAAATCATTCTTAAAAGCCCCTCAGCAGCTCTGTTGCATTGAAAGAACTCCTTTTATACGTGTAAGTTCTTTTTAGGGATTAGTTTTTTGTTGTTGTTGTTGTTTTTTTTTTTTTTTTAGCTTCCTCTTGTTATTTTTGTATCTGTGAACTACTGTGGATTAAGTAGCCCCTTAATCAGCTTACCTCTTTAAGCTCAATTTTATATCAGCAATCTGTCCCACTGTTTAGGGTGATAATTTTCAAACTTCGTTTTAAAGAGGGTCCCGACTTGGACAAAGAGTTAGTGGTGGCACTTCTGCTCCATCTGACCTCTGGAGTCCCTGGGGCAGCCCCCTCTTTGCGCTGTTGACATCTGGGGAATCCACTTGCCCTTTTGTAAAAATGACTTTCTTCTGTTACGAAGATTTTTGAAGGCCAATGACTTAATAGAAGGAAGGCATGTAAATCACTTGTACCATAGGTCACACTTCCTAGGATTTCTTTAAAAGCACTTTATTCTGTGCTTCATGCCTGCCATTGGATTATTAATAAAGAAATATTAAGACATTCAATTTCTTTATCCACTCCTCTTTCTCTTGATTACAGTTCTCTAGATGTGGGAGAATAGTGTCCCCATGGCTAGACATCATTTGTCACCTCGAGTGCAAAGAAGCCACAAGCCCTCAGGACGAGCATGACTGGCTGGTCTGCGGAAGGCACCCTCAAGGGCAGGCATGTGGGAAGAAGAGGTGTAGTACGGGAAAACCTTCTCTCTACCAGAAGGCTTAGTTTTTGTTTGCCCAGGAACTTGGGTCAGACCCAAATCCAATCAATACTATTCTAGTGAAAGTTCCAACATTTTTTGCCCTCTTATATCTAGATATCTGAATAGAAAGATGTTCATTTGTGTGGGGTGTGCGGACAGAAAAACTTGTTATATGTGTATCTGTTAACGTGAAGCCTAGACTTTGGTGAAAAATTCCCCTTGCGGTATTGCTAGCATACTGTTACTTCATGGGGGTCGCTGATGGGGATGGAAGTCTCCCTTAAATTGTTACCAAGACTTCTACCATCCTCCTGACCTCACCAAGTATTCAAGGTCACTGTCAGCTGGAAGGGAGCTCCTGGCTTCCTTCTCAATCTTCACAAACCAAAGCTGATGGACAAAGAGAGAGAGGCTGGTAGTGAATCACCACTGTCCATCCCTCCTCCCTGTAACGGGCTCCTTAGTGACCTAGGACTTGTCCATATGGATTTCAGTTTCCAAACACCCGCCCCCTCCCCCGAACAGCTGCACCTTGGCCAGGTCCTCCAAGCGTGGGGACACGAGGTGGCAGCCAGTCCTTCCCAGCTGATGGGAAGGCCCTCCCTTGGTCTGAAATGGGCTGTCTGGCCTGGAGGCTGGCACGACTCATATGCCTGAACACTACCACCCAAAGTGGTCACGTCTTAGAGTTGCGAGCAGGAACCGTAAACCCGAGGGCTGTCCGCTGTTTGCCGCAGGAGCGGGGGAGAGCTCGGGAGGTAGAACAGGGGAATCCTCATGGAAAGGAGATGATGTAGCTTATTTGGAGGAGCTGCTGATCCTGGGTTCTGTCAATCTGGTAGTGTTTTACTCTGGCAAAGGGGGTGAACTAACATGAAACATACACTATCGTTCCTTAGGGTGATTGCTCCCCTGGTGGTGAAATGCTGAGACATGAACGGGGATGTGCTGACTTGGGGACAAAAGGCTGACACACAGCCAAGCAGCTCGTATTAGAGCTTCAGACACTGATGATGTGAGTACTTATCTTTGGGAATCTTCCTTTTGGGGGTCACAGCCAGGGGGTCAAGGGCATAACATGAGGGTGCCCTATGGGGTAAGTGGCATCGGGCACAGCCTCTGTAATGAGCTGCTGCTCCTGTCATCACAGGGAAACCCCAGTCCCCAAGAGCCACTTCTGTTCCTACATAAATGGAACAACAGATACTGACTAGTTTTAAAACTAAAGGAACCATTCCTGGCTCACGGATCTAGAGACCCCTGCCACTTCTCTCTCCGCCACCTGAACACAAGGAGGTGGCATTTAATGATCTCACAGGTCTCTCTGGTCACAGACAGGACGGTTCTATCCTTTTTCTTTTTTGTTAGTTGTTCCCAAAAATATCGGGGTGTCTGCTCCATATAGAAAAGTGGAGGTCGATTTCAAACTGGGTGGTCAAGAAATTAGGGAATGACTGTCAGCTGATCTAGAAACCTCCTGGGGACTAGAGGGCTTTCAATACAGGCCACACAGACGTCATCCTAAGGACATTCATCCTTTCATCCGGGAGACACACACAGGCGCACACTCACGCATCTGCTACCGCTCGTCTCCTCCCCAGCATCCTCTGCCATCCTCCATCCTTGCCACCTGCCCCCCACTTCCGTGCCTGCACGATGCCCGGAAAATATGCCTGCAAGATACTAAATGGACTTTCAAGTGCTTCTTTCCAGACTTTGTTTCCTTGGCATAAATATCTTTTGAGTTAATGCTGCTGTGGCGGGCGTGACTGCGAGAGTTAAGAGCAGTGCTGGGACTCCACGCAAGGCAAAGCTCAGAGGTGTGCAGACGGCAGCGCGGGGCACTCACCCGTGGCGCTCTTCCTGTTCTCCTCCCTGTCCTGCGTGCGAGGGGGCACCAGGGGGCTCGGCGGTGTCAGGGGCTGTGGCGTTGGGGGCTGCGGCGTCGGGGGCTGCGACGTCGGGGGGGCTGGCGCCCGCCTCTTCTTTCTCTGCAGGTCAACCTGGGACCCTAGAGACACCTGGGAAGCACAGAGAGAGGCGACAGTCAGGGTCAGGGTGGCTCTGTCAGGGAGTGGGGTGCATGTGGGGTGCGCATCTCAGAGAAGCTGGCCTGTGGGACCCGGTGCTCCAAGGAGCATTGGCAGATTGCTGGGTTCCTTTCTGGGGACCCGGAGCAGGTAGCAGATGCCCTGGTGTGATAGCTTGGCGTGGGGCCAAGGAATGGCCCCGAGGTGGCCCAAGGAGGCTCACAGACATCCCAAGACCGCTTGGAGCCACCAGGGGAGCTGGGGCTCTGCCCCATATTGCCTGAAATCCCGTCAAGGGACTTAGTAACTTCCCCTCGGCATAAATACAATAAAGGGGATCCTTTGCTCTTCATTAAAAGCAAAAGAGAACTATTCCTTCTGGACACTTGGCTAAGGGCCATCATGACATGCATCCACGCAGGGGGAGAGCAGAAGGGGCCCACTCAGGGCTCCCTGTGCCCAGAATCCTGCTTGCTCCCCTGCCCCTGCATGTTCTCAAGCAGCCAGGACTAGTCCCTGTCCACAGACGGGCCACCCGTGGGCTGGAATTATAGTTAAGTTTGCCAGCCTGTGGCTCACGGTGTCAGCCTATGGGACATCAAACTCCCACCGAAGACTTATGCCAATGACGAATTTACAGCTCCGAAAGGCTGCATATGGACTGCATAGTCTCCTCCCCTCCACATTATGACGTTTTCATCCCTTGGGCCTGGCATTTCCTGTGTGTGCACGTGCATGTGTAGAGGGTCTCCTTTTAAATAATACATATTAATTGCAAAATAAATTTATATTTAAAATTCATATAAGCAAAAGAAAGAAAAAAGTTACTTTGTTAACACTCGGATTCTAACTACTAACAGTTGGCATACATTTTTCTGGTCTGTCTTTTTCCTTTTTTTTTTTTTTTTTTTAAGATTTTATTTATTTGAGAGCAAGAACGAGCACAAGCAGGGGGAGGAACAGGCAGAGAGAGAATCAGGCTCCCTGCTGAGCAAGGAGCCGGACGGACTCGGGAGCTCAATCCCAGGACCCCTGGGATCATGGCCTCAGCTGAAGGCAGATGCTTAACTCACTGAGCCCCCCAAGCACCCCTGGTTTTTAACCTTTCCTCTTCAAAGTCATGTCCTTTCAAAAAATAACCTCATATTTCAAAATCACCCTCCTACTCCAATACAAAACAACCACCTCCTATACCTGTATAACTCTGTAATGTATTTCATGGAAAACATGGCCAGCAGGAAAATCAAGTCACTCCACAAAGCTCAGACCCTAGCCAGAAGCTCCTGGTCCACACTGCCCCCACTCCAGAAAAACCACTTCTTACTCTTTTTCTCTTGATGTTTACTCTTTTTTTTTTTTTTTTAATAATAAGCTTATACTGCTATTTCCCGATTTCCCTGTGTTAGATACTGGCTTTCTATTCCAGAAGAGGAGGTTTAGCTGAGACACACACACACACACACACAGTTACTCCTCAGTCTTTCCAAAAATTATGGCACTGGGTTAAATTAACACGATCTCATTTTGCATATACAGTTGGGATAGATAGAATCCCATACAACAGAACTCTTCTTCAGGAGGAAGTGGAGACATCTCACGTCAATGTTGACATTTTCCTTCGGGATCGTTTTGATTTCTCTGAACTTGGTAAGTGATTTGTTTTCCAACTTTTTCTCTGGGCTTCCTGGAAATGGCTTTTCCTTGATTCAGCTGTTTTTCTCCTTGTTTCCTGGATCCCAGGCCTTCTGAAAAATTGACTTCCTTGTTATAGTGGGGCTCAGTGTGTGTCAGCTTTTTTGAGGTGGTGAATCTAGGAGACCTTGAAAATTGAAGACTGTTTGTATTCTGTGAGGCTGACCAGCTGGTCATAGACGCTGGCTCCGTCTTCTCCATGTGGTCTGCTTCTCGTCTGCCAGCTTTGAGGACCCTCCCTTGCCCCTGGCACCCTGACATGTCTGACAGCATGCCCTGGGCTGAAGTGCTCTCCACCCATAGTCTGGGGCATTTGTGGAACCCTGCAATCTAGAAATCCTTTAAGTCTGCGGAATGTTCTAGCATCATTCCTTTCAGATTTCTTCTTCCCTGTTTTCTCTGTCTCTCCCTGGGTTCTGATTATTGAACAATGAGGGCTTGAAATCCATTTTTAAAAACTTTCTTGAATATTATTGCCTAATTTAAAAAAAATTCCTCTTTCTTGGAAATTTCCTTCCCCTCACTGTCCAACTTCTTGAATTTTTAAAACTCCATGACTATATTTCTAATTTCCAAGAGCTCCTTCCTGTTATGTACTTTTTAAAAAGTACCATGTCTTCTTTTCTGGATACAGTATCTTCTCTTTTCTCTCTGAGGCCATTTTTCTATTTTTGAAGATGTTCTTTTTTGTTTATTTGTTTGTTTTTATGCTTTGTTGTTTCCTACATGCTCCTTTCTTCCTCTCTCTGTCTTAGCTTCTGTCTGTCACATTCCGGGCCTTTCCTCAGTTTCTGGTGACCCTTGGCTGATTGCTTATAATTGTGCATCTGGGGACAGAGTCTCTTTGACACGCCAATGGGTTTCCCTGCAGGTGCCTGGGCAGAAATCCAGTTAGCTCACTGGGGGATGCCCAAATGCCATTATCTGTAGGATTCTCTTGCATGCAGGGGGATTTTCCAGCCTCCTGCCAGGAGGAGGGAGATGATGTTGCAGAGTGGCAGTCCGGTGGGCAGCCCTGGACCCGTTCAGCATTTCCTTTTCTCTTCTCCCAGTGCACAGGACTCTCCACGTGACTCAGGTCCTAGAGGCAGCCTCTCAGATCTTTCTCTTGTGGGGTCTGGAACACCTCTAGCTGTGTGTGGCCAGTGGGTTGGGGGTCTTACTCTTTCAAGTATACACATCCACTGTCCTCTGCTCCTTCTGCCTGCGGGTGTGCACAGGAACGGGGACCCCACGGTCCCCACCTCACCAGGCTCTGCTCCCTGCTGCTGGGTCTCTCAAGCCAGAGGTCAACCCTCAGCTGCTACTGCTTTGCTGGGAATTTGGCACAGTCCACGCAGCCTAGTTCCCGGTGTCTACTGACCCCTTACTGCTCCTTCTTGCCTTCTCTTTGTTGTAGTGGGCTAATGCTTTGCATTCATTTTAGTGGGGCTTCAAAAGGAGATAGAGAGACTCACTCATTTTATCAGCTGTATTTATATATATATATATATATATATATATATTTTAAATTTTTAATTAACATATAATGTATTATTAGCCCCAGGGGTACAGGTCTGTGAATCGCCAGGTTTACACTTCACAGCACTCACCACAGCACATACCTTCCCCAGTGTTCATAACCCAACCACCCTCTCCCTACTCCCCTTCCACCCCCTCGCCAGCAACTCTCAGTTCGTTTTGTGAGATTAAGAGTCTCTTATGGTTTGACATTGAGATACCACCTTACACCAGTTAGAATGGCCAAAATTAGCAAGACAGGAAACACCATGTGTTGGAGAGCATGTGGAGAAAGGGGAACCCTCTTACACTGTTGGTGGGAATCCAAGTTGGTGCAGCCACTTTGGAGAACAGTGTGGAGATTCCTTAAGAAATTAAAAATAGAGCTTCCCTATGACCCTGCAATTGCGCTACTGGGTATTTACCCCAAAGATACAGATGGAGTGAAAAGAAGGGCCATCTGTACCCCAATGTTTATAGCAGCAATGGCCACGGTCGCCAAGCTGTGGAAAGAACCAAGATGCTCTTCAACGGACGAATGGATAAGGAAGATGTGGTCCATATACACTATGGAGTATTATGCCTCTATCAGAAAGGATGAATACCCAACTTTTGTAGCACATGGACGGGACTGGAAGAGATTATGCTGAGTGAAATCAGTCAAGCAGAGAGAGTCAATTATCATATGGTTTCACTTATTTGTGGAGCATAACAAATAACATGGAGGACATGGGGAGATGGAGAGGAGAAGGGAGCTGAGGGAAATTGGAAGGGGAGGTGAACCATGAGAGACTATGGACCCTGAAAAACAATCTGAGGGTTTTGAAGGGGCGGGGGGTAGGAGGTTGGAGGAAACAGGTGGTAGGTATTGAGGAGGGCATGCATTGCATGGAGCACTGGGTGTGGTGCAAAAACAATGAATACTGTTACGCTGAAAAGAAATTAAAAAAAAAAAAAAAGAGTCTCTTATGGTTTGTCTCCCTCCCGATCCCATCTTGTTTCATTTATTCCTTTCCTATCCCCCAAACCTCCCATGCTGCCTCTCGACTTCCTCATATCAGGGAGATCATATGATAATTGTCTTTCTCTGACTGACTTATTTTGCTAAGCATAATACCCTCTAGTTCTATCCACATCATCACAAATGGCAAGATTTCATTTCTCTTGATGGTTGCATAGTATTCCATTGTGTATATATATATACCACATCTTCTTTATCCATTCATCTGTTGATGGACATCTAGGTCCTTTCTATAGTTTGGTTATTGTGGACATTGCTGCTATAAACACGGGGGTGCACACGCCCCTCCGGATCATTACATTTGTATCTTTAGGGTAAATACCCAGTAGTGCAATTGGTGGGTTGTAGGGTAGATCTATTTTCAACTTTTTGAGGAACCTCCACGCTGTTTTCCAGAGTGGTGCACCTGCTTGCATTCCCACCAACAGTGTAGGAGGGTTCCTCTTTCTCCACATCCTCGCCAGCATCTGTCATTCCCTGACTTATTAATTTTAGCCATTCTGACTGGTGTGAGGTGGTATCTCATTGTGGTTTTGATTTGTGTTTCCCTGATGCTGAGTAATGTGGAGCACTTTTTCATGTCTGTTGGCCATCTGGATATCTTCTTTGCAGAAATGTCTGTTTAAGTCCTCTGCCCATTTCTTGATTGGATTATTTGTTCTTTGGGTGTTGAGTTTGATAAGTTCTTTATAGATTTTGGAGACTAGCCCTTTATCTGATATGTCATTTGTGAATACCTTCTCCCATTCTGTCAGTTGTCTTTTGGTTTTGTTGACTG